CTTTGGGCTGGTGTCAGTTGCAGCTTTCCTGCAGCACGGGTGACTCCAGTGGCGGCAAGGGAAGAGTACAAACACAGCTCTGGATTGTTTTTTGCAGCTCAGTTGTGTGTTCCCTCTGGAAGAGTGTGGGATGAATGTCACAATATTCCAGTCTATCTCAATTTGTCAAGTGTGTTGTGAGGGCATTGTTGGTTAGTACAATTATGACTGGTGGGTGGCAACAGAATCACTAGGAGCTCTGGTGGAAATGCCGGTTAGTATTGCTCTTAACTTCTATTGCACATATTCCATTAGTTTAGCATACCAGTATTGTAGCAATTGCTTGGTGTGGCTTGTCTGTTTAATATAACATAGCCTAAGGCATTGGTCGTTCTCTCAGTAGTTAATCTACAGAATAAAAGGGAAACTCTGGCCTGCCTGGGCTGGGCGGCCCGTGGGCCACATGCGGCCCGCCGAAAACATTTATCCGGCCCGCCGGCAGGGCCGGCTCGCCTAGGGTGCGCTGGCCCTCAGGGGCGCCAAACTGCAGATATGTGCAGTGTGCATAGGAATTTGTTCATAGTTTCTTTTTAAACTATAGTCCGGCCCTCCAACGGTCTGAGGGACAGTGAACTGGCCCCCTGTTTTAAAAGTTTGAGGACCCCTGCCTAAGGCCATACTAAGCAGAGTCACCTCCCTTCTAAATCTATTGAAGCCAGTAAGGTTAGAAGGGGAAACGTAGGACTGCACTGTTAATTAATGGCTAAGATCACATTTGAACCACACCTTGGTTCATTCCCTCTGCTATAACAGCTGTCTATGGTCTTTCCTAAACTGAGGACAGAACCCCAGATTCTCAACTTCCCATACCTCACATTTTTCACAAACGAACCCAGAGTGTTGGTTCCTCCAAATAAAGGCCTGTATCTCTCCCTATTGTACTTTCCCAGGCACATCAGGTTGACAAAAAGAGTAACAAGGCAACATCGAAGAGCATTGGGCCAGCAGTGGGCAGGACATGAAGACACAATGAAGAAGTCTAGCCTGAGCAGGACAGGGCAACTGGCAGAGAAGCCTTCCTTAGGATATTGATGCTGCACAGGGAAGTCTTGCCTCACAAACATACAGATGTTATACACTTGCGTTTCCAAAAAGGTTTCTAATAAAGGCTTCTGAGTAAACTTTTGCATGAGGGCAGTTCTTCTTATGGAATGGTAACTGATTAAAGAACAGAAAGCAGAGGATACAAATGGGAATAATTTTCATAACAGAAGGAAGTAAATAGTGGAGTCCAGCAAGCATAGGTACTGCAACCATTGCTATTCATAGATAACCTGGAGTTAAGAGTGAGCATAGCAAGGCAGCCAAGTGTACAAATAGAACCAGAATATTCAAGATGCTAAAATTCCCATCAGAATGTGAAGAGCTCTAGAAGGGGTTCTTAAAATATGATGAATGGTGACAAAATGGCACCTGTGAGACACTAAGTTAAATGACTCACCATATGTTAAATGTTAAGGGACACACACAAGGTCACATACACACTGATGGGATCTGACACATCTACATTTTGTGGTTATGGTGAATAATTTGCTGAAAATGTAAGCTCAGTGTGCAGCATCAGTGAAAATGGCAATTTTAATATTATGCGTTATTAGGAACACTACTGAAAATAAAATGGTAAATGTTACAATGCTATCTATTATGTTATCTATATTATCTATATTACATACATGTTTAGAATATTATGCACGGTCCTGCTGGCCCCATCACATAGAGTTGGAAAACGTGTAAAAAATGATGAAGGAGCCACCTTCCTTACAATGAGAGGCTAAAGTGTTCTGAGATCTTTTTAATTTGGATTGTGGGAAGTAGGAGCAGTTTGATAGTGGCAATATATTTTAAATTTTAAAAGAAAAACAGATTAGAAGTTAAAAAAATTAAAAATGATGTGGAGAAATAGAGAATTTTTGTCATAAAATAGATAAAACTTGAGGTCACTGAATGAAATAATCAGCAAATTCAAAATAGAAAAAAAAAGTACTTCATACAAATTAGAAATAACTTAAACTCCTGAAGATCTGGTGCTGGCAGCTACCTCAGATGTTTAAAATGGATACACAAATGGTATACAAATTAATGGAAGCTAACAGTGCAAAGCCTTTGACTATGTCGACCATAACAAACTGTGCAGAGCCCTACAAGACCTGGGGGGTGCCAGCACATAGTCAAGTTGATACAATCATTGTACACAAACCAGGAAGCCACTGTACGAACACCATATGGAGATACTGATTGGTTCAAGATAGAGAAAGGAGTAAGACAAGGTTGCATTCTTCCACCTTTCCTATTCAACATGTATGTTGAAACAATCATGAGGAAGTTATTTATTTATTTATTTATTTATTCAGGTATTTCTACCCCGCCCTACCCCGCAAGCGGGCTCAGGGCGGCTTACAAAGGCATAAGCCCATACATAAAATTTAGAGCTGGAAGAGTCACAAATTGGGGTAAAGATTGGAGGAAGGAATATCAACAGTCTTTGATATGCTGATGACACAACCCTCCTCTCGGAAACGAAAGAAGGCCTGGAATACCTGATCAAGAAAATCAAACAGGAAAGCGAGAAGTCTGACCTCTTCCTAAACATCAAAAAGACCAAGTTCATGACCACCAAGAAGAAGAGAAACGTCAAAATAAGTCGACAATGAAGAGATCGAATGTGTGGAAGAATTCACTTCCTTAGGATCACGATCAACCAAAACGGCAAATGCAGTCCAGAAATAAAATGTTAAATCATGCTGGATCGCACAGCAATGATGAGCATGAATCGAATATGGAAGAGCAAGGTCATCAGCCTAGAAACCAAATGCAGATTAGTCTGTGCTATTGTGTTCCCCATGGCAACCTGTGGCTGCGAAAGTTGGACCATGAAGAAGCAAGACAGGAGGAAAATCAACTCATTTGAGCTGTGGTGCTGAAGAAGGCTCCTGCGCATTCCTTGGATGACAAAGGTGACAAACAAGCAAGTACTGGAGCGCATAAAAGCAGACATGTCATTGGAAGGAAAAATCATAAAACTGCGACTGACTTATTCCAACCATGTCATGCGGAAGAACTCACTACAAAAAGCAACTATGCTTGGATTGGTTAGCAGCAAAAGGAAACCAGGCTGCCAAAGAACACGGTGGCCAGCCTGAGCATGGAATGACTCAAAGAAACAGTACAAGATCGGAAAACATGGAGAGAGCTGGCCCATAGAATCGCCAAGAGTGGGACACGACTGAATGGCTAACAACAACAACAACAATGCAAACCTAGTAGCAGAGTTATACCCATCTGGATTTATTTAGGTCAGTGGGGTTAGATGGGTATAACTCTACTTAGGAGTGCATTGTACTTCTATCACTTATCTAATAAGGGTGGGTGGCTGTCCAATGTAGATTAAAACATCCACAAGTGGGGGGGGGATCCTGTTTTATAATATATGTTTCAGATCTAAAATGTGTGTGTCTTGGATAATTCTCAGATTTGCAAAAAACACTTCATACATTCACAGAAGCCTTTGGTTAATGCCCCCAAGAAACTGCCTGCAACGTTTATCACAAAATAGCTTTTTAAAAAGGTAGGGATCAACTGTGGCAAAGCAAGAGGAGAGGAAATGAAGGTCAGTAGAGGGAAGAGATTTTCCCTTCTTTGTGAGTCTTCATCTGTCCCCCTTTTAATGACAAATACCCATGACAGTTAGATGGAATACTAGACACTAAAACAGGACTGGAAGGAGCAGAGCTTTTGCCTTCATGACCTGCTTGCAAAGTGTGCTCGATGGTCATTCTAGGCAGCATGGACATTCTGCCTGATCTGAAAATGTTCTTTTTTGGAGTCCTACTTGTGCCTAAGCAATTGATGATCTCCAGTTCAAAAGTCTGAAGACCAGAAGGGACTCCAGAAGCCAAAGAATTCTCTCTAACAATTACCCAAGCCTATTAAATTTTGACTGGCTAAAACACTACTTTAAAAAGTATGTTTATATCTAGCCATTAAAAGATTGTGTAAGAAAGAGTAACTGTTGGTAATGGCTTGAGATTATGTAACGGAGTTCCCTGCAAACAGAATTAAGTTAGTGTACCAAGATTATTAACATTTTGACTGGCATTACAAAAAGAATTAAGTTTATGTTAAGGAATCCTATTCAATACACTTTCTCTATTAGGCAGGGCGAAGTGGCCCACCACATGGTTAAACTAGGCAATACAATGGCAGCCGCATATTCTTAGCTGAGTGTCCGCCCCATATGTGTATAAAGCAGGAGTGAGTGAGGTCTTATATAAATATGACAAAGAGTATAGATATGGGAGAGATAAACCCTCTCCACTCCTCCCTTTAGTCAGTTTTCACAGTTGTCATCTACAGACTGGGAAATTCCTGGAGGTACAGAGTTTGGGGAGAGGAGGGTGCTCATTAGGGTATAATGCCAAAGCACCCATTTTCTCTAGGCGAATTGATAACTGTAGTCTGGAGATCAGTTGTAATTCAGGGAGATCTTTAGGCCCCACCTGGAGGATGGCAACCCTACATCCCAGGCATTCTCTTTCTAATGTCAGAGTTAGGCCATAGAACATAATGCCTTTAATGACCAACTGTACAAAAGTAAGGTACAGAGAGTTCTGCTCCCACCAACAAATGCACCCATTTTCATGTTAAAGTAAGACCTAACCACCTTCACTTTACTAGGTAAGGTTACAGGAGGCGGCAGATCTTTTACCATTCACGCTCCATATTAGTCAGATTCCCAGTCTTCGAATGGAGATTAAAAGGCTGTCATCCACAACACGTGCCCTGAGTCTACCTTGTTAAAAGGACTACAGTCAAGTACATTAGTGGTGAATTGCAGTCTATGGAAAAGGCATGGTTACCCCACTGTTATAACCTAGCTGTAATCTCTACCTCAAAAGCATTTTATGGTGGAGAAGGCCAAGGCTGGCGACACAATTCCTGACTTCCTGCTTGAAGGGACTTACCTGGGAAAGTGTTGGGTTGCACTAGCCCCAGAAAAGAATGCATCATAGCAAACAAGCCCTGCAGGCCATCACCGGGGTCAGTGGGCTGTGGAAGATATTCAGGCTGAGTGAGGTTTCGAAGAGTCATCTTAGAAGGACACAGTCACAGGCCCTAGCAAGTTCAAAGCCTCAGGAGGTTCTCTGCATAGAAATCACTGTCCCGCACCACCTGGGAGGGCAGCTGGCATCTGCAGTGGTTTCTGTTCTGCCTCCATGCAAAATATCTGGATGCTTTTCCCCCAGCAGACCGAGGAGCTGGGATGTGGACCTATAACAAACAAGGGATGTTAGCAAGTCACTGGCTAGAGCTACAGCCCAGTAACCAACCAGGAAAAGCCAAACAGAAAAATTTCCAGAGTAGCTTGCTTCCTCGTTAGAGCAGTGCTGGGGTGGATACGCTGTGGTTACTATGGCTGCTCCGAAGTCAGGACAGGTGGCATTCACCTTCCCCCTCTTCCAGCCTCAATCAGCTGCAGCAACATCCAACAGCACAGGGGCAAGAACAGAAGGGAAAATGGAGGACACAATGGGGTGTGAGGCAGTGGCCGAGAGCAAAAGCAGGGGAAATGCGGACATGGGATATGATGGAGCAATGCCCTTTTCCCAGTAGACCAGTGAGTTGCATCCATACCAGTAGACTTAGGCTATACTTTGGTGTCGCAACACAACAAAGTATTTGTTGTTGTTGCCATCCTCGATGATCCCAAGATTTGGTCCTTGGGTCTATGGACTTCATACCTGCATTAGTGAAATAACTCCCTGAGTTACTATGCCTTTCCTGAGATGAGATGTGGTAAGTTATATGTTTATTATTTCCTTAAGAACTTTATGTCCATAATATATGGATGACAAAGCAAACATTCAACAAGAGAACATTATGACATGTGCTTTTACCACCACAGAGGTATGTGGAAAAGTTTAATTGGTTGAATTTCTGTCTCTGGGAACAAGAGGCCTTGTCTCAAAAACAAAATATGGCCTCATTGAGAGCAATTCTAACTAAAACAGTAGAGGAAAAGGCAGAAGCAAACTCCCAAAACTCAGTCCGTACAAGGAAAGCTCCCAGCCAGGATGAACACACAAATGGAGATAATGGGAACTGCTCCACCACCCACAATTAGGGATGTTGCCAAACCAGGGTGAAATAAGGAGGCAAGAAGGATGGGCTCCCCCCCCCCTTTCCTCTCCTCTCTTTAACCACTTCAGAACAATCTGAAAAGAACTACCAAGAACTGCCGCGTGCACGATCCTATCCTAGGTACATCAAAGTGCAAACCAAACTAGTCGACGGGGACGGGGGGAAGGGCTGTGTGGTGGCAGCTGACAGAGAGTTAAACGCGGGAGACCCTCGATAGCCCACATGGGCTGGCAAAGTAATCGCCGCCGATAAAGCCGCACAGGCACTGCGCTCCGAAAATCTTGCCACTGTCCCGCTCCAACGCTCTAGAGAAGCCAGGAAAGTTCAGACTCCCATTCCCTCGCGTGGTTCATCCGACACCCCTCCCACAGCTGGAGACGCAAGCAAGATTTTTTTTGGCTTTCAGCCCCTTTCTCTGACCCTCTAGAGCTCAGTTTCCTGCCTCAAGTACACCCAGAAGCCTCGGCAGGGGGTGTTCACCGTAACCCCCCTTCCCTTAAACTCAGGCGAGGAGGGGGGCTTTGACTCACCTGGTGCTGCTGTTTCGCGGGCACTGGGGGGCGCAGCCTCGGCGAAGGAGGAGCACTACAGTGGGGCCGCTCCGTCGAGCGCGGCTTCTCATAGCGGCTCTCAGCGTGAAACAAGTGGGCAGGCCCCAGGAGAATAGCCTCCCCTCCTTTCCACTCCCCGCCCGGCCCTTCCTTTCCTTCCTCCCTTCTCGATGTTGTTGGTCTTCCCGCTCCCTGACCCTCCGAGCGCTGCGTAGTGCCCAGGCCCGGGGCAAAATACGGATAACGCTCCGTCTCGCTCCTCAGCCCAATCTGGAGAAGTTTTCCCTGGGAATCATTGTTATATGTTTCGCCCTGCTTTTTAGAGGAAAAACTGAGTAACAGCTCTTGTGAACAAAGACATAGTTGCCATTTAATGAGGTTTCCCCTGAAAAGTAGAAGGGAAAGTCTACTTTCAGAAAGGAATGTATAAGAAAACAAAAAAAGCTTGGGTAATACTTAAAGGATTCTTATTCATGATAATAAATAGTGTTCTTTTGCTGTGTGTCCTTACATTAGAAACATAAATTACAAGTTTTCTTCAGCAGAATCAGGCAATCTTTTTAAAACTTGGCATTTAAAAAAAATTAATGCTCTGGTCATATAATGCATATTATTCTATTGGTTTTAAGAAATGCTGAGTTTTTTTGGAGGGAAGGTTTGAAATCTTAACATATAGCCTTTACATTTAAACTCAATTACAATAATAACCAAGGGGCTATGTCCCCAGATGATAGCTGTAGTACTCATGTTTCTACAATGTCAGAATACAATACTAATTTTCTGTTGAACTTTATCAGAGCTTGCCTAGGCAAAGTGGCTAATCTCACATAACCGATTAGGTGTACAATTAAAAAACATATTCTCATTTATTTATTATATTTTGACCATGAGGGATATTTCAATTTCTTGCCTCAAAAAAAAATTTATCTGGAGGCTCTTTCTCTACACACTGTTGTTCCAAAACTCCACAAATAGAAGAAGAAGAGAAGAGATTGGATTTATACCCCGCTCTTCACTACCCAAATGTGTCTCAGAGCGGCTTACAAACTCCTTTCCCTTCCCCTCCCCACAACAGACACCCTGTGAGGTAGGTGGGGCTGAGAGAGCTCTAACAGAAACTGTTCTTTTTCAGGAACAGCACTTATCAGAACTACGGCTTGCCCAAGGTCATCCAGCCCGGTGCAAGTGGAGGAGTGGGGAATCAAACCCGGTTCTCCCAGATTAGAGTCCGTGCACTTAACCACTACACCAAACTGACTCTGTATAGAAATAGGTTTGTTATTAATAATGCATATTATTATATGTTTATTATTATTAATATTAATATTATTAATAATAATAATGTATATTATCTCTGTATAGAGATAATATGTTTTGTCTTAAGTATTAATGCTTTTCCACTTAGCAGAACCAGTATGGTATACTGGTTAAGGCATCAGAGTTGGATCTGGGAAATCCAGGCTTTAAAAAGGAACCAGTATGGTGTAGTGATCAGAGTTGCAAACGAAGATCTTGGAGATCTGGGTTTGAATCCCCACTCTAGTCACTCTCTCACAACCTAACCTACCTCAAAAAGTTCAGGTTACCAACTATCTTGGCAAAAGGACTGTGCTCTCCCCTTGGATGATACCATATGGTCTGAACTCTGGGAATCCCAGATGTTTACATCACCTGTTATCTCAATGGAACATCAAACCCTTAAAATTATGACCAGGTGGTACCTCACACCCCAACAACTCTCCCATATGTGCCCTACAAAACCACCCTACTGCTGGAAAGGGTGCCAACAACAGGGAACTTATGCACATTGCTGGTGGGGGTGCGATGAGATACAGGCATTTGGGGAACTAGTCTTACATCATATCCAACTCACAACAGGGGTCACACTCCCCCTCACTCCCGAAGCTCTATTTCTTGACCACTGGCCAGATCATCTGGCTACACATCACTCCAAACCAACTATTGACATTATGGTGCCTACAGCAAAAACCGCCATTGCCTCCTGCTGGCGAGAACCCTACCCTCCCAACCTGAAATTATGGTTCAGAAAACTGTGGGAAACCTACCTGATGGACATCACCAATAAAATAAACAGATCTCTTTTGAAACCGGCTTCTTTATAAGGTTTATTTTATTAATTTATCTCACTGCTATTTTGGTATAATAGGTAGAATTAAGTAAAGGTATGTTTGTGGCTGGACATGGTTTAATTATTGGGTTAAGGATACATATGTCTTCTAGAAATAGATTGAGAGATTGAGCTGGAGTAGTGGAGGAAGGAGTGATGAGTTGTGAGATCTATGTTTCTGCTTTTGTTATCCTTTTCTCTTATTTTCTTGGAGTATCTAGCTGAGATTAACAGGGGAGTGTATATATATATATATATACATATACTTCAGGTTAAAGTGAAGGAGGGAGGGTGGCTGTGCATGTCTTTGGTGAGAGAATGGGAGCGGGCCCAAGCAGCTAAAACGTACTATTCAGGAGGAAAGACTAGACCCCAAGCTTCAGATAAATGGTTCCGATTAATGCTGCTTGTTCTGCTCTAATAATGTTTCTTCTAATTACATTCAGAAAATCTTACCAAATCTGGAAACTCACCCCTGGAAAACAAAGATAGCATATGCACAAGTCTACATAAACGTTCTTTTAAATGATCTACTGCTGTAGCTACAGTTTCCCCCTCATTCTAACTGTTGCTATTGTAAACAAACACAGCCCAGGCCTTCCTTGTTCCTGGTCAAGTATTTCTGTTCTTTCTTCTGGCTTGTGTTGATCCTGCCAAAAGTTCTCCCTGAGTACTGCAGCTATTTCATCTCCACTACAGAGTCTAGGCAAAGTAGCAGGTATACTCTGGGTCTGGGTGGGGAAGATGGAGGTTATTTTATTCAGGCTGAAGGGCTTCAGACAGAGACATGGAACAGGAGGTCAGAGGAGTGGAAGTTTCCATAGGCAGGTGAGGTTGAGTGTGCTGTCATATAATAGCTAAAATTTATGTATGATTTAATAGAGTTGGAAGACATGGAGAAAGCTGCAAGATAAGATGGCAGGTTCTGGGAAATCAACACATAGCAGGGAAGGTGGATAAAAATCAATCAACAAAAACCAGAATCACATTACAGAAAATTAAACTGGATTTCCTCAATTTTCAAATTATGAATATTTACTTTCTAACAGACATATATTTGGGTACTGCCTTTTCATCCCATGAATGTAAGCTACTGAGTTCAGGAAGTACCATCCCTTTCTTCTGGATAGTTCTAGTCCCTTCGATGTCTCTAAATATAAACATATTATTATATGGGTTGGATGTTTGTATGATTTTGTTCCAGTTATTCTTACGCAAAGATCATAAGCAAAATCATCCATTATATAACCAGAGTATTATTGCAACATTTTCTAACAATATGTTTTGGCTGTGTAAAAAGATACACTCATGGATAGTGAAAGTGTTCTATTTAGTTGTACATTAATATGTTTTAATGGTTACCTTTTCACCATTGTTAAAGAAATACACTGGTGTATCAATGGGGAACTTGATTTAAATCTGTCAGTATACATACATCACAACATGGGTTTAGATCAGGGGTCTGCTCTCTATGAATGTAAAGAAAAATAAATCTTTGTTAAGGTATATTGGCAGCATGGGTGAAATGCTAGAATAACCAGTATGTGAAGGGAATGGCAGGCAAAGATTTCTTTGGCACTAACGGGCTTCTAAGAGATGCTTTACTGAAAAGGGAAAAGATAGAGGTGAACAGTTGCCAGTAATCCATGCACAGACTTATGCCCGTGCACGAAAACAGTCACACAGGGTACTCCTGTATATATTCCTTACTTATTGTGAGACTAGAAATAATGCCCGTTGCGGAAATAAATACAACGGGATCTAGAAAGAGGCTCTGGGAGAGTGCTCTGGCTTTGGGCAAACAGTGTCAGTTTCCTGTGGCGACCTCAGCAGGGTTTAATGACAGAGTCCACTGTTTTATCCAGAGGGACTGATCTCTGCTACCTGAAGAGCATTTGTATGTTTGAGTTATCTGTAGCCCTCACCTGGAGAGTGGTAACCATTGTTTCCCATTCTCCTCGCCCCTATGAGGTATTTTATGAAACTGAAAATTCCAACTGCCTTGCGGGGGGGGGGGGTGAGGTGTGGAATGGACTGAAGTCCAATCAGCTTCCATATGCAAAAGACCAGGTTGTCGCAGCAGTTGTGGTGTGGGCGGGACCCGGGCTTTGCCTTCTGATTGGTGGCGATATATGCTGAGGAACAGTGCCATCAGCCATACACTAAGGGAGTGCATTTTAGAATTAGAACTTTGGCACCCACTATTCAATTATATATAAGGAGAGATCTGATGTGTGCTACTGCTCTCTAATAAGGGACTTGCAACTGGTCTGTGGAAATTTTATGGATTATTAGTCAGCACTTAAATTATCAGTGTTAACTTGCATGGTTTCAGTTATGCAAATAGTCTTTCTTATATTGTTTTTTTTAAAAGTCTTTTGCTCTGAATTTTGATGTAGTTTCATTATAAAAGGTTGCAAATCCCTGGTTTAGATGGAGACAAATATTAGGGTTTCAGTTCACATAGTGGAACTCTTCATCTGCCCCATTGTTATTAAACTTATCAATGGGTATCTGTAGTTACTTTAAAAAGGGGGAAATACACACAATGAGATTCAGATATGCTTGAAAACTTTATATCTCATTAATCACATCTAGTACCAGAGTATCATGGCCTGAATCTGGTCTGATTTCTGTTCTAATGTATGTCAGTCAAGATTCCTATTGCACTGTTGTTGTGACTATCAAAGGCTGTTAGATTCAGAAATGTATAAATCTATATACACTTGTCCAGGATGCTTTAGGCTGATCCTGCATTGAGCAGGGGATTGGAATACATGGTCTATATGGCCCCTTCCAACTCTGTGATTCTATGATTTTGTATACCCATATAGACACTTACTCTTTAGCACTGTACACTGGTGAGGAGATTAGTAGTATAAAGATTCTAGAGAC